CTAAGGGTGCTAAGTCTCAGTCCTGGGAGGAGAGCCAGATTGGGGCCCAAAAAACAAATCATTGCAAGGTACGCTAAAGGCCTTTTGTTGGAGCGTGCTCACATCACCATATTCTTGACGCAACTTGTTTTTGGCCCCTACAGCGCCTAGTGTCTGCTAGTTGAAAATCATATGCCAAGCCAAACACAACAAGCCGGCATCACAGCAAATCATTCTGCAGCAATGTGAATTGAGAAGATCGGCTAAACCCAACAAGGGAGCTGATTGCCCAACACCTGTCGGTGCTCGATCCATCACATTGTGCCAAGCGCGCACACGTTTTCCGAAGCACATTCGGTGCTCAATGCATCAAACAACTTTTGCTTCACACAACACATAGGGACTCCCCAGAACTCTTCACCAAGCCTGCCCTCCCGGCCGCCAAGAAATGTGGCTAAGCATTCTTCGCCTGCTACCGTACCTCTAAAAGGCACCTCAAACTGCACGTTCTTTATCTGGGCCTTCTTGAAACAGCCTGGACCACACTTTTCCATGGCGAGCCCCTGATATTCAATTGCAAGGCTTGCTTAAGGCACCCACTTGAGAAAGGAAACTTGCCCAGGAGACAAGAGTAACCAATACTCAGCCAGCAATATACCTGCACTAAGGCAGCACATAGCAAAACCAAAATTAAATCGATATCAAACCAACAAACTGCGTGAGGCAGATCTGATCCCTGGAATGTTTCAGCGATTGTCCCTATGGGGTCTCCTCAAGCTGTTTTAGGCCATTGTTTTGTCAGTCACCAACAACAATTCTGCTCGGCTAACTAAACCTGTCATCGTGGCGCCCAAGGTGGAAGCATGATTCGCGCGAAAAATCCAACGCTTTTGGTTGGCACTAGCTTGTAGGTTGCTTACCTTATAACAGACTACTTGATGGGGCAGTTGTTTTGGAAGAAGTTGCTTGTTTACTACGGATAATGATGATAGATAAGGGGCCTGGACAAATAATGTGTGAATTATTGAACAAGCATTTCTGACAGTAAAAGACCCTTAAGTCATATGCAGCATGTTTCTAGAGTTCTTACCTTCCCACGCGAGAGCTATAAATCTCAGGAATTAATGGCTGGCGTTTTTTCATCTGCATTCATCTCCTGGATCTCCACGGCCAGACTTAGGATTAGGACGTGTTGGCGAGATCCAGGATGAATATGATTGCGTCCTTCCTTTATTTTACCCAGCTAAATCTATAACTCTACAACAATCCAACATTCAAAGCTGGGAAAAGAAAGGGAGATAATGCTTTTATGCCGGGCCTTCTCATCAAGGATTTTACTGATAACCGTCTATAAGCAAGAAATATTGACCATTGACTCCTGCCATTGACTGCCAAGAAAGAAATCATCCAAGAAGCATTCTATCATTCATGGACACTCACGAACGAAGAGAGGAGTGGGAATGGAGAGACTTACCATAGTCGTAAGTCCCCCAAGTGCGTTGCTTGCGTGTGGCTACTACGCACTTGTCTAGTTTACCCTGCCCCTTCACTTGCACCAACGTCTCAGCACTCAGCCCCCGTGGTGTTTGTGTTGGCTAGGGTTGGTCAACAATTCCTCAAACGACCAACCCCTGGTCCAATTCCTTGAAAGGCAAACCAACAATATTTGCTTGAAACATGCCTTTTCCTCAGAGTTGGGCAAACATTGGCTTCCAAGGATTGAATTGCCCAGTCCTGTCGCCCGTGCAAATCGGAGTGACTTTAACCAATCCGCCTGATCGGTTGTCCACCGGGAAAAAGCAAAGGCCCGCGTTGCTGTTGACCACCACCTGCCATACGAAGCCGTGGGTGTACCCCATGACCCGGTTGGCTGTTTGGCTGGTTGGTTGAACTTGTTTGGTTGAAAACTGTCCAAATAGGTGCCCTGGACAAATTCAACCAACAGTCTCTTGTGGGTTGCTCTGGGTGCAACTAACAATTGTGGTGCATTTCGCGCCACAAGCATGAAAGCACCCGCTGCTTCAGATTGAGGGTCCCAAAAGGCGTCAAGAAAGGGGTCGAAGGGCAAACATCCCTGAATGGATCTTCTCTGCTCGGAATCCTCTAGGGTCTTATCCAGGCCAAAAAAGAAACAAAAGAGCTCCTTGGAGAGATATACAAGAAGAAGAGCTATGGCTCTGCGTCCGCTTTGGAAGAACGCCAAGGCAAAAAAAGATACAACAAAACGCTTGGCTTCCACTAGAAGCTGGACACATCGAAACACTTGACTGTTGCTCTGAGCTGCAGATGTGCTCCTAGCGGGTCCCAGCCCGTTTACCCCTAAGCATAAATGGTGTCAACGGAGACACCAACAACGATACGCGTGTTCTTACATTGTATGGTCCAGAATGTCATTTGCCACTTGGGTCACCGAAGGATCCCCCCCCCAGAAACCAAAAGGAACATGTCTACTTTCCCACCAGTGGGGATCCATTGAGAAAAGTGAGGCTTGAAATGAACAAGCACAGGCCATGGCATGAAGCTGACACCCGAGTTCGGAACTGTTCAGAAATGGGTGTGGCTCAAAATTTAAGAGCTAGGGTTACGCAGGTTTTGGTCTTTGGCTCCATTTACCAGGGGGCCATTGTGTGCACCGGTTTTTTGAGCCACAGCCAAATCGAAATATGTACTTTTTGTGTATGTGTCAAGATTAGTCGACCAGGGGACCGCAGGTTGTCGTCCAAGCTTCCATTTGCCAGGGTTCCATGTTGGGTACCTATGCTTGACTCATAGCCATATTATGGACACGTTGTCTGCGTTTGAAGGTACCCCCTTTTTGTTTGGGTCCAAAATGGAACACCTTTTTTTCTTTAAAAAAAGCCTAAAACCTGCGTAACACCAGCTGATTATGTTTTTCATCACCCCTCATGTCCAAAACCCGAGATACCTCCGAATCAGACCCACCTTGGAACCCAAAACCTTCAAGCTCCATGAGCCGCCTGTCGTTCCAGGCCGGGCACCCGCTCCATGAGCCGCACCTCGGAGTGTGTCGCTCTGGGTGAATTCTAACATGGATACTCGGCTGCTTTCTGCTCCCCTGCTAAAAGTTTTTAACTTTTAGCGGTTTAGTTCGGAAAACCCAGTAGTTGGCGAAAAGTGATTCAGTCCTAACAGCCAAGCAAAATGCACCAAAGGATATGGAGGTCAAAACTAAACCACAAGAAACACCCGCAGCTTTTAGTCCATGTTTCCATTTAGGGCAAGCCATGTCGGGCACCTGTTTTTGACCCACAGCCATATTTCACCGGCCAGAAATAAGGTGGTTGGAGGGATATTCCCCACAGAAACCACCATTTGGGGTGAATTCGGTCGTGTGAGGTAGTTATAATTCACCCGTATCCTTTTTGGATGGCCGGGGAAATCGAGAAGGAACACCACTTTGAGGTCCACTCAAACATATAAACCCGGGACATGCATGCGAGCCGAAGGCAAAATGGCTTGTTTCCCCAACGGGATTTGTGTTTTTGCAAATAGTGGTTTCTCTTGGAGGCACACCAAAATGGGAGCTGAAAGCATTGGCTGGCTCTGAGCTGGTCCTCAATGCTCCTTAGCCCTGCCAGTGGATCCATGTCGGTTGAATTTTAGAATCGAATTCCCAAACGGACCCTAAATATAAACAATCAACGTGATTGCACTTGGGCCCTCAGGGTTTTCTGAGTAGTTATCATTCCAGGTTTGTTAGTTTGAACATGGTGGTTTGCTTGGTTGCCTACCTTTAGTGCACATTGCTAGCTTTTGGACACCTGGTGCAGATCCACAGCTTCCTCAGGTCCATGAAAAACAAAGAATGATCTTGGCGCCGCACAATGCCGCTTCGGGAATGAGGGGACAACCCTTATGAATGATCATCTGTGGATTGCGAGGGACATTCTCAACTTTGATTCCCTGCTGAGAACTAGCCAAATAAAGGGACCTATTCTTCGAGACACGCAAATGGACACAACTACCGACAAACCCAAATTTGGCCATGGCGCTACTCACCAGTCGTCTTGGTCAATCTTCCATCCCAGAACTATACGCATAAGGCCTATCATGCTTACACCCACCTGCAAAAGATTCGGGGTTTGCTGGTCAGTCCTAAAACAGTGATGTTCCACTAATACAAACACAGCTTGAAGGTCAAACCCAAGAACAGCCAAGAGACAAGGACTGTTGAACGCCCCCCATTGGGATGAGAAGCGCTCTACAAGAGGTTTGGACTCAACTATCCATCCCCAATACAGGGGAGTTCATTTGCAAACCTCATTTGAACACACCAGAACTTTGGCACCGCATGGATTTTAACTGTGGACCCAGCGGTTCAGGTTTATCGCATCTGAGTCATTGGCACCTAGTCTCAGTGCGCGTGCTTTGGCTGACACTCCAGTCTGGCTTTCAGCTGGCCAGACCACGCAGTTGCGACTCCGAACGCCGGAAGACAACTTTCATGGCCCTAGGGGCTATGGGCGGGGTCTATCTCAGGGGGCAATAAGAGCTAGCCCCCCCTCCCCAATTCCCCCTCCCTTAGAATTCTATAAAAAACGCTTCGCAGCCACAGCACCTGTTTTGAGCCACGCCGAGGCGGGTTCCCCTGGGAAGTCGGGCCCTTTGCCGCGCGAATCCAAATCTCGGGCGGGGTTGCCACACAAATGGCCCTGTTTTGGACGCTTTGTGCCGCCGAGAATGCCGCCTTTCAAACGATACCAAAAAGAGGCCCCAATCTGACCCCGATGATTCAACGCCAAAGGCCATAGCCCATGGCTCCACTTGCGAGTCGTCTCAGAATCCGAAACATGGTCCTCAAACAAAACAAACAAAACCAACTTGCAGATGTTCCCACATGGATGTTGTGCAAAACACAAACATACTGCCACCTCACGGTTTTCAGAGAACAAAAACAGTTTTTCCCACCACACTGTTTTCGGTGAAAAAACACAGTTTTTCCCACCACACGTGCTTTGTCGAAGAAAAAAAATAAGCTTTCCCCACTGACATGGTGCTTGGCCGAAACAAACATCTCCGGACCATAGTTCCTGGATTCCGAGGCCGCTCAGTCGGGTCGGTGAGTCGGTCGGTGAGTCGGTGAGTCGGTCAGCCGTCCGAGCACCAGCCGTTGGTCAGCACCAGCGCGATGAGCCCCGCCAGGCCAGCGCCAAGGGTGGCTTTCTCGGGCGCGCGCGAGCCACGTGCGGGGGCCGCGGCCGTTGGAGCGGCCCGGAGAAAATTTGGGGAGCCGTGGGGTTTTTGGGGGTTGGCTCTGACTTAAGGGAAACCAAACAAAACAGCGCGCAACATGGGAGCGTTTTTTGGTTCTGAGGGAAAGGTGATTTATATTTGGGTGTTTTGTTTGGTTCTGAGGGAAAGGTTATTGCATTGAAGGATTGACAGGGGGTTGACCCTGAAGGGATAACTCAAAGACATTTGTAGGATGGCCTTGACCGGGACTTCCTTGTTGTTGTAACTTGGCCAAACAAGGACTAGGAGAGCAGAACATTTCACAGGTAGTATCCGTCCACAAAACCCCTTCATGCACTTGCTCGTCTGGGCCCCATGCTGCCATAAATTTGCAAGGGGCACTCCGAAATCCTACATTTGACATGCAAATTGAATTTTATGTGTGCCTTTCAGAAGAAAAATTGATTTGGGCTTACCATCACACACATGATGTTTTTATGGACATGACATGATTTCGCCTACCCAGAGAGCTCCACCAAGGACGGCGATGAGTCAAGCAAATACACACTTAACAAAACATGTTGATAAGCGATAGACATAGCTAACACTCCCACGAATCAACCCGAGGGGTACACCATGTTTGTCGGGAAGAGCCGAGTGAAACGCGATATCGCACCGCACACCAGGGCTGTTCCCACAACAACCTGATTTTCGGCGCTTCTGCTTTTGTCTCTGACCAACCTCATTGGTGGGAACCAACCAAGCAAATCGAGGCTTCCCATTCGTTTCCCGCGAGAGGTAGAGGAGACAGGCCGCAGTCTATGGTTTTTAGTTGATACGCAGGATCCCGAGATGCACGCAATGTTGCGATTGGCATGTGTGTTAAAACGTCCTGGGTTGAAGATTGCCAGCCAAATGTTCTGAGAATCTGCATCTACAATCTTCAATCCAGGGTGTGCCAGGACGTGATACCGGTAGCACATCTTTGGGCAAATCTTACCACTAAAAATGTTGAGTCACTCAAAGCTTCGGGTGGGGTAAAGGGAGCATTTTGCCGGCAGCAACTGCGTCCTAAAAAGTGCATTTTACCTCATTATGTGAAAAGAAACCATGTGTATACGACATATATATATATATGTATATGCAGATATACATATACATATGTATGTGCGTACGGTGTCTGCAGATAAATACCCGACAGTGGAATGGTGAACTAGTGGTTTATACCGACACGCCGGGCCCGGGCAGCAAATAAACAAACGGAAGTCAAATTGGAGTTTTATACTAGGTCCGATTGGCAAGCGCCCCGCCCGGACGGACCATTGAGACAGGTGGGAGGTTGGAGCCCAGCGTTCTGGCATGATCCCAAGCATCGGTGAGTGCTGGATTGTTCGTTTCGCATGTTCACTGCCCACCAGAACTACATAGTGTGTGCTACATGGCATTTTGGCCACTGAGGCTTGTGTCACTTACTCAGTTACTCGTGTCACTTGCGCTAAACTGCGACAGTGCAGGTTGCTGGAGTTGAAGAATGCCACGCATTGTGACTTTGCTTTTGCTTGGCTTTTGTTGAATCCTGAAGCAACGATTCAAATTGAGATTGACTTGTGACGTTGTCATTCGCGTAAAGTGCCAAGCGGGTAAGGTAGTCACATCTCCCATCGTGGGGCCTGCGCCGTCATCTTCGCAGTGCAAGATCATTTTGAGACTTGGCTAAGTGTTTGCAGCATAGTTTTTGTAGGGCTGATGCTGTGTTGTGACAATGGTGCAATTTGCTTACTGACTCCAAAGCTTGCGCGTGGAAGGACCAACTTGGTCACAAAGCCCCATGGCGAGATGCTGGATGGGTGGCTGAAGATCAGCGTCCGATTCTTGAGCGCAACCAAGTGTAGAGGGAGGTCGCTAGGTAGGGCTGCCAGGAAAGAATCGTCTGGCAACTTTTAGTGGTAGCGCTGACTGACTCAATGGTTGTGTGTTCACCCGCGAAGGCTTCCGAAATTTGCATGTGTCTTCATGTTTGATTGACACCTGATTGGCGGCCCAGGCAACTCCAAAGCCAACATGTTTGGGATGGAACTCTTCGCAGGTCTGGAGGGAGGAGCCTCGTGGCTCTGGAGGCAGGAGAGCTGATATCTCCAGTCAGCCGTGCCTAGTCATTTTTTCTCAGGTCTTCCGTGTGGCATGATGTGTTGTGATCCCGATGTGACTGAATGGCTTGTTAGGCAGTGAATGACCCTGTGGCTTGCCGGCTTGCTGGCGCAAATTAATTTGGATAAGGGGTACAAATGCGATGACTTGTTGCCACTTGGCAGTGTGAGTCGTTGTGTTAATTGTGCGGTAATCAATTATTTGCGACTTTCCAACATAAAACGACACTTTTCAAACTGTGACTAACGCCGTCCAAGCGGGTGTGTTAGTGCCTTGAGTTCTGAGTATGATGCCTCAGTCATCTCTCTTGTCCTCGAGTTGAGAATTCCACCCGCTGTCATCATGGTTCAGCCCTGAGCTGATCGGTTCGGTCAGCCTTGGATCCGGAGGTGCGAGCAAAAAAGATGTGGCTGAGCAATTGCCATTGTGTCAGTGTGAGCCTTGAGCGCTAAGACGTCATGACGTTCCTTGCAAAGGTGAGTGGCCAAGATGCTGGACGCCGGCGGGCTGCAGACCATGAACACTGTGCTGCGGATGGATGGCTGCGTCAGGGGCGAGACGCGCTTACTTGAGAGCCTGGACCTTGCCATCTGAGGGTGTCGCCACTGTTGCCTCAGACGGTATCAGCGCTGTTGGCGGTTGCAGAGCAAGACCAGAGGCGCGTCGCGATGATGGCCACTGCCGCGCTCACCCGCTGGATTGCCTTCGTCATCGCCGTTGGAGGGCTTGATGTTGGGAATTCAAAATCATGTGGTTATCTGACGCTTGAAGGCTCATGCACTGGGCAATTGCCAGAGCAGTTGAAGAATTGCAGGAGTTTAGAGAAAGACGTGGAGGGAAAGTCAGAGGCAGCTGCAGGACGCGCGAAAGCTTTAGAAGAGCGTACCAGCCACCGTCAAGGAAAGCTCTCCCTGGCAACAGGCCAACGCAGACGTCTATGGGATGATCTTGGCGGAGCTGGGCAGCAAGCCAGGGTCAGGATGTTGAGCTCCTACCTTGCGCCGGGGGCCTTGTCTCCCTGTACGGAAGTTGCAGCACGCTCACAACTTCAACACGCATCCTGGACTACAAGAAGGGCATCACCGTTTACTTGGAGATGCTTGGCTGGCAGGAGGGCAACGTGGAAGCAGCGAAGTTCCCTGCTCCTGAACTCTATCTCTATGTATGACAGGCAGCAGTATGAGTGTCGCAGCTGTAGCCAGCCTCGTTTCCAATAGTCGCTGTCGAAGCCTTTGGCAGTCAGTTCCAAATCTGAGAGCTCCAGCCAATTGGCATCCTGCTCTCAGTATTCCAATCCAGACCAGGTTGAAGTTGAAGTTCCAACTTTTTGGGCTCCAACTGTTGGGGCTCCAACTGGTGTGGTTCCAACTGTTTTGGTCCCAGTGCTTCCCAAACTGGTTGGGTTCCAAACTTTCTGGAAGTTGCAGCACCGACTTGAGGTCCCTGCCATCATTCTCGCAGATGGCGATGAAGAAGCGGGCGCGAGTACAGCTGCTGTGACTGGGAGTGCTGGAAGCGAATGAAACTTAGAGGCGGGAAGGAGCCTAAAGACTGGAAAGCCAAAGGGCGTGGGAAGCTGCACAGTAGGAACCCCACAATTCGGAACTCTAACAGTTGTGGCACTAACAGTTGGAACCCCCCCCATTGTAGCCCCCACAGTTGGAGCCATAACAGTTGGAAGCCCTACAGTGGCAGCTGCGACTGTTCGTTGTAGCCCCCACAGTTGGAGCCGTAACAGTTGGAACCCCACAGGGAACTCCAACTGCTTGTCGCAGCCCCCGCATTTGGGGCCGCAACAGTTGGATGCAACAGTGGAAACCCCCACAATGGGAACTCCAACTTGCCTCTCTCCCAACCTCATACTGAGCAGATAAATTCACATACGGACAAAGGGTTTCGACTATCTCCGAGCTTTGAATGCCCGGATTAAACAAGTATTTCATACTACCTCCGCAGCCGGCCCCTGCCCGCCCTCCACGTATTTATTTGTAGACACCGTGCGTATATACATATTCATGTGTGTAAGCATGAAACAACTCGCACATCGCACGCATTGCCCCAGCGCCAGCGTGCCATGGCTGGTGTTGCAAATGAATCGCCCGCCAGGGCTCGAAGCAGGGCATGTTGGCCTCGGAGATGCAGCGGCCCAGCACGCCGCAGTGGTGGTCGAACTCTGGGACACAGCGTTGGCAAATGCTGCAGTGATGGCCTGAGGCTCCAGGAGGCTTGAAGGACTTCCAGGTGGTTTCCAGGTAATAAACACCCCCTATCAAACAAAAAAACTACAAACAAACCTGTTCTTTTTAATATGGGGGTGTCCCTGGTTTTAATGGGAAGTGTTCACTTTTGGAGGGGAACACCCCCCTATGAATAAACTGGGGTTGATGAATAGGGGGTCAACATTGCTTCAGGTACCCCCAACTGTGCAGCTTGTATTGCAGGGAATTTGCAAATAGCACCCATCCCCCCAGGTGCATGCTACACTCACGAGCCGCTTGTCTCCTGTGCTCAAAATAGGTTTCTGAAATGTATCGGTGAGCCATCTGCTCGCTTGCAAAGCGCAAATGGGTGCAATCAGCGACCCGCTCGCCAGGAACACACACACACACACACACTTTGTTGGGTGCAACTGGGACCTCTTAAAGTTCATCATCTTTGGAGTCAAGGCGAACCCAATATTTTTGGCCTAGCCTGAAAGCTTTCCACATGTCCCCTGAGTCGATTCCGGAGTTTTCAGTGGAAACTTCCAGAAATTCTCTAAAAGGAGCACTACCTCGGCGTTTACCCACAAGAAAGAATATAATTAAACTCTGGCAATCAGAGTTGGCAAGCGTCGAACCTCGAAATTTATACCCAAAAGACCGAGAAAACCGTGCCTGCTAGCGATTGCCAAACCCTTTGAAAGGGACCCACCCCACCTCGCTCACTCTGTGCAGCCAAGGAGCTGGACTCACATCCGCGAGTGCGCCATACCAAGCAGCGCACGCAGTAGCTCCTGAGGTGCCGACGGCCCCGGCGAAGCGTCAGGATCTTCATGTTATGGGTGGCGTAGGCGAGTCGTGAAATAGAGATCGGGGACCCCAGAGGGGTCGCTCTTTTTCTTCGGTGTCCCCTTAAACATGGAATCCAGGTCCTAAATAGGGGGAGACGGAAAAAATCAGACACTGCCAGCTGATCTGAGGCTTAGCTCAGCGGTAAATACCCTTCGTCCCCATCACACCCTGTCAGGTGCCATGATCAGTGGGAGCTGGGCAGCAAGCCCCAAACAAGCTCCATTGACATGGATGGATTGATGTCCATGTCTCTGTTCGTTGCCACTGGGCCAAATGACCAAGAGAAAAACGCACTCCTGAGGCGCGTGGAGTGCTCGGGGCCGTCGATGTTCTTGTCCAGGCGAGGCAACTGGCCCTGAAGATGATGCACCACCTGAGAAAATCCGCCAGAGTCCTCTCAAGGCCCAGGATGTGAAGGAACCTTCATGGTTCCGATCCAAAAGCTCAGATAGCTGAGTGAATGGATGTGTGGCTGTGTCCATGTGTATTTGGCTTTCATCGAGACCAGAACGCGCCATTCAACGTTCTTCCCGGACCCTTGGAAGCTACCCCCGACCTCCCAAACTCGTTTGGCGTAAGACCGTGGACTTAGGCCAAAGCTCCCAGCTCCAACAAGAAAGCAGCCCAGCGTGCCTGCGCTGGGATGGGGTAGCAGGTGAGTCGGCTCCGCTTCACCTCCCCTGACCTGGCAAAGGCACCCATGAAAGCTGGGAGTTGCCTCCTTCCAAAAAGGACAAGCCCACCTGAGCGGCCAAAAAGCTAATGCTTGAGATTGCCAGAAGGAAATGGAAGGATCGCTAAGTTGGGATACACCTCGCTTACCTGGCAATAAAGCCAAGGCAAACATTGCGAGCGCAAAACATCTGCCCTGAGTCCAAGCACGCCACACTCGAAATACAGTGAGCCTGTCTTCCCAAAACCTGGAAACATGTGAGCCACTACTGTCCCAGGCGTGTCTCGCAGGGTTTCGGTTTGCTCAATGCGGACAAAGGATTACGTGACAGCAATTGGACATCACGGGGAGACAACAGCCATCGAATGGCTATGGCTCAAAAAACTGAAGATCATGAATATCCATTTTTTGAGCCCTTGGCAAATGGAAACAAGACAAAAACCGGAGTAATTAATGTTGCTCTTTCATTTTGAGCCGCACCTCATGTCTCCGATGATTTTTTAGACCCCATTCTGAGGCGTGCTCGTCCAAGACTCCTTGAAGACGGCTGTATCGCGTGTTTCTCGGCCCGCCCTTGCAGAAAGCCAGAAAAACCAGAAGATGCAGCCTCTTTAAAGACATCTTCCAGGTTTCCTTCGAAACAAGTTTGTTTCCGAGGAACAGAGGAATTGGAACCCCGGGCATCAAATGGAGGGTTCGATCATGATAAACATGTTCTCCAGGAAAAAACAGACTTGACCCTCCCAAAACTCAAACCTAGAACCTGCATAGGGAATCTCCTTACCAAACTGGTCTTCCCGGAATCCGTTGCAGGCATGCTTGTTTGTCTTGCTGGTGCTCAGGGAATTTTCTCAGGGGTTGGGAAGGGATTCCCTCTAAGGAAACCACAAGCGATGGTTGAAAAGGGTCATTCCTACTCATTCCCTGCCTTTCGCACCAGCAAGTGTTGGGGAGGGTGGGTCAGGTGGCATCTGGAGCCCATGACTCTTGGCGCCGGACCTGCCACAGAGGATAAAGGCGGTGCCTCACAGGTGCTTTCGGTAGTTTCGGGATCTGGATTGACCAATCCACACGGAGAGGAGCAGCCCATGGAAGAAAACCAGAGTGATATGATGTCAAATAACTTCGCCAAGATAAGCAGACTTGGGGAATTGTAAACATTTGTAAACCATGCTCAAAGCCGTAACTGTGGAATGCTCCAACCCTCTGGATATTCAATGAGAAATCGCTAGCATGCTGCTGCTTGTGCTTGGACCAGTCTAGCTCCTCACGTTTGAACTGTTCAGAGCCGAGTGTGTTCAAGGGTACCCAACAGCCACCCGTTTGGGGCTGCCAACTTTAAGCACAGCCATGTAGCGGAGACATCACAGTCATAGCCAATACCGTCTGCACAGCTCACCAAGCTGCAGATAGAAATCAAGCAACCCAACAAACTATTTATGAGCTCGTTCCGCCCCTGAGGCTATAGATTAAACATGTATCACGCATGCGTCGTGATGCTTCTGCCCCCGGCCACTGCCAACTCAAAAATGTGCCTTCAAAACGACAGACCCAAATCGGCAACGGACAAAATCACACGCTTGCCGAAGAGGGCATGGGAAAATTTGGGTCTCCGACTGGGGGTTTTGTGAGAAATTGGGGCTGTCTCACTAATATCCGTCACGAAATGGGTGTGTAGGTTTTCCTTGAAAGCACCCCGAAAAGTGTACCCTTGAACAAACACCCTCCCACATATTGGGGCTCCCCAAAAAGCAGGTGCCTCGAACATGGGAAATAAATTAAACTAGAACAAACGTTTGCCTATGATCAGATCTGCCTTTGGAAAGCAAGTACCCTCCAAGTGGTTTTTGTTCTTTCTAGGTGCCCTTCAAAATCGTTCAAAAAACGGGTGGGCAACCCCCCATGCCAGTATGTCCCACGGGGTCTGTCTCGACTCTGATCTTCGAGGGCCAAGGAGCAGAACAACGCCAGCAGTGCAAAGCCCTGGATCACGGTATCTGCAGATTCACACCACCTCGCGCCGTTGCTCTCAACCCAGCATTGCCGCACGGGGGAAGCCAAGCCAAAAACCGGGAATTCCTAGGCAAGAACATTCATGCGGCCCGAGGACTCGCAAATGAAAGGGGCTGGTAAGCTCGCAATTCGCAAAAAGACGCTTGAGACTGGTAAACTCGCCACTTGGAAAGAGCAAACATCTAGGATGTTACCAAACGCTCGGTCTAATGATTGGCTATTCCAGTTGACCCAAAGTGAGAGGATAACCCAGGTGAAACCGAGAGCCCAAGGTGCCTAGGAGGGCTCTCGTGTATTCTCTTTGAGCCCGCCCCTATGGATCAACGTTGATCGCACTAGTCGAAGCCACTTTGATAACAACTAATTCCAACCATTGAGCCTGTGAACCTCCTGCTGGTCTCACTGGGAGCCTTCCAAATGGTTAGGCTTGCTGCTGGTTTCGTACATTGATCCAAAAGCGGGGTCCCGGCCGTCGCAAATCCTGCTTTTTGATGCCAGGTTCCTCCCAACAGCTACCCAACAACTTGAAAGGAACGTATCATAAACAGAAAGATACACCATAAACTGTCGCATCCTTCCGACAGGCCATGGGAACGACCTGTCTTTTTCAAGGCCATTTGAACCCGTGTGGTTGTCAAGGTTCCCCGCTCCCCCATCCCTACTTGGGTGCAAACCAGCAGGAAAGTCTACAGGATTATAGCGAAACGCTGCCAAACACTTGGGGGTTTGACTTTCCTGTAGAAGACTAGTTCGATAGTGAGGCCCCCAGATGTTGCCTATTAAAACGAACTCTAGATTCTGGTCTCTGTTCATCCAACCTTCATTTGTTTCTCCTCTAGCATCCCAAAAGAAAACACAAACAAATGGACCTGTTCACAGGGGCAACTCCCCTCCGAAAAAGGAACCAAAGCACCGCAGGCCTGGAGAACCTCCATTTGCTTAAGTTGGAACAAACATATTCCCAGTACTGATAGATTCCCTTTGAACACTTTAAAAGCGACACGGGAAAACTTGAAACATGCTCTTAAACAAATGGAAGAGATACGCATCCCGGACCCTCCCGCGTAATAAAATTCGGCCATAGGGGCGAGGGATTGCTCCATCGGCTCCGTCGCCCCACAGAGAGGTGGACCTGGATCACTTGGAGTTCGAGTACCAAATCTCCCCCCACCTGATTCAGTCTCTCAGCGTGTCATAAAACCGTTCTAGTACCGTTTTTTTTTTTGTTTTCTTATTTTTCATAACTCAGTTTCTTGCTAAGTGCGTCATAGTCAATACCCGGTACTAAAACGGTCTACCCCGAAAAATGCAAAGAAGTAAGAAGGTGTTCTCAGCTAGTTGGGATGGTCCCTTACTAACCTTCATCTACCCGAATCGGTGTTGAGCACGTGGCTCAAGTGGTGGTTGGCTTGGTGGTTTGGAGGCTCTCTGGTTTTTCCTCCCCTCAAGAGCCAGGGGCTCAAATCAACCAAGACACCAATCCAAACCACCAACTAAGGGAAACCTGCCTTTAGTCTGGAGTGAAAGGCGGCCAAGAGAGTGCAAGAGTAACCTACCTTGCAGTGGGACAGGTTGACTGCAGTGGGTTGAAAGTATTTGAACCTATGGTAAGTTCCGCATCTGTTGCAATATGTCATATGTCCAAAAATTGAAATCCGGATCAAAAAAAAAACCTGCCTGGACCTTCGTCCTCCTGAAAAGAAACCGCAGTTTCCGCCTTTGACTGGATATTCGGGACATCGTAGCACTTTTTGCCGCAAAAACCTGAAACTCCTAAAACTCCTAAAAACAGACTATTGCAATGCTCGCGGCCTTTGACAGAGTAAAGGAAGGTTTGCAGGGGCAAACGACTGAATGAAGCCCGCAAGTTTGTCAAAACATGCAACGGCATTCCAAAGTTGTGCGGTGCAGAAAAACCGTACCCATTTTGACCGCAAAACGCCCGCAAATTTCCGCAAAACTCCCGCAAAAACCCGCAAACTCCCGCAAATCACCGCAAATCAGAAAAAGTCGTAGTTTTGATGATCAAGGCATCCCATGGTGTTCACTGGCACGTTGGCAAGTGTTGCTAGGTGTATTTACTTTGTATGGCCAATGCGCAACTGGAAACGACGCAATTCGTATGTGTGTTTGCCCAAATTGTAGCCAAACCACTGGAATTCGGTAAATCGTAGGGGTCTCCTAAAACACCCAGAAATTTCCCGGAGTTTGAAGGTCCAGGTGCATCATGGTGAGCTCGTTTTAGCCAGGGGCCCCGAATCAGCAAACGCGCGACTAATCTGGCAAATAGGAGACCGCAAAAGTAACATACATTCTAGATAGGATCAACTATATTGGGTCACAGGTATGTTTGTGTGAGTGTGTCTGTCTGTGTCCGGAGACTAAATCATGTTGGCTTTCAATAAAGCGATCCGGTGGGAAAAAAAACAAAAAACAAGACTTGCACAAAACCCTCCAAGTACTCCCTGTAGCTCTGGTGCTCATACACCGGGGTTTACCAATTACAATTTGTTCAACCCGCTACTAAATTAGGGCGACCCCCAGCGGGGTCTAACAAATGGGTTCGATCCAATGCTACACCCATGAGTGTCCTTTGGCGCAAGCTGAAGCCCGCAAAAAAAGAGAACGCGCGGAACGCGTTCCCTTGATGAGGCGACTGGTCCCCTCAATCAAGGCGAAACTTTCATCCCACCTTCACAAGGCGAAACTCGCAACGAGGTTAGGACAACTACCCCAACTTGAGAGCTGTTCAGATTGCCGCTTTGTGAGTCGCTCGGACAAAAGGTGTCCAAGAGGAGGAACGAATCCGAGAGCTTGTCCAAGTGGCCTGCAATAGAATGTACCATCTTTGCTTTTGGCTACTAGCTTCTCACTTCCTGAGTGGATTGGCCCAACGAAAATGTCGAAACTGTTGGCTAACCACAAAAATGGACCTCCGAAAAGTATGCACAGTCCAGACACTTGGAACATGAGGATTCAAAAAACCCATCTTTCAGCAAGAAAGCACGAAGGCCTTGGGCGCCCGGCCGCAACTGTCAGACTGACGATCCTGGGCTTGGCCAAGTGCAGGGCTGTTGGTCCTTGCTGCATCTCCTGTGCGCTTCCATGCTTGATTTGAGGAGGGTATGCCGGTGTTCACTAACACGTATGTTTGTTGAAGCCAACAGCCGTTGATGGAAAAAAACAAACCCCTGTTATGCCGTGACGGGCCCGTGTATGTCACACTCTTTCCAAGTGTCATCTGAAACTCAAGGGTTTGTCCAAAGCCTTTGTTTTTACATCGCGATTCACACATCGCCCCAGTTGCTAAAACAATTATATCTCACGACGCAGTGGTTAGGATCTCCCAGAAAGGTCTTCATTTTGGGCGAGTCTGGACAAAGCCCGAGCCGAGCCACATCGAGGCGATCAGGAGCATGCCCACGGTCGCTTGAGACCAGTACTTTGGGTCTCTCTTGGGCCTTGGAGCAGTTGAGAAGCGCTCGAAGCTCATACTTCATAGACTTGTCTTTCTACCAAGGTAGCAATTCATAAAAGTTTTTAGAGGCCAAAAAACAAATCCCCGTTCAACGATGTAGTAGAACCAGCTCCAAAAACAAAACTTGGGACATCGGGTGGGAGTGGGTTCTGACTGCCAACGGGAATGGCCATGTTCTCAGTTGATCGTCTCAATGTGTTGACTCCTTTTTCAAAACTGCGGCAACTAGGCGGTACCTGTTTTTGAAAGCCCAACTTCAGGATACTACATAACGCTTTCTGTGGCGAGATGTGGAGCCCCTGCTGCAAAATCCATGGATTTGATGCGGTCTAGCAAAAACAGACCACGAAACCAAACAAAAGCAGCCAACCAGGAAACCAGGCAACCAGCCCACCGTCTCACCAACTGACCGACCGACCGACCGGAGAATGTCAAGCATCTCCAATGTGTTGTCTAAAGGAAAGACATCTGCGGGTGACCCCAACCCCCTTGCTGGATTTGGCCAAAAGGTGTAGTTCATTGTGTGAACCATAGCCTTCCCATCCCTAAACCAAAGCAACAAGAAGCTGTTCTACAACCATGGCCATGTTGAAGCCCATCCATCCCACCAAAAAACACTTTGAAAACAGGAGAACCATGGGGGAACCTCGGCATCAGATCAGCCACTTGAGCATCTGCCCGCCAGGGATACCAACTTTCCAAGAGCTGCGAGAGTCAAAACCGATCCCAAGCCGGTGACCTCTGCTAGCCCGGAGAAGGGGCATGAATCAGATCGCCAGCCCAGCCTCCCCCTCCACGGAAACCCGACTCGCGTTCTCCGAAGTCCCGCCCAAAGCGGTTTCATGATTTTGCTATGTTGGGGGAATGCAAAAAGGGGATGTAAAAAGGGGCCACATAAAAAAGGGGACATGCAAAAACAATACTATCTAACAAACATGTTTCAAAGGGACTTTTTGTCAGCGGGAAAATGATACCATGTTTTCTTAAGTAACACTTGCGGCGAAAGGAAGCAAGCGATTGGAACCTGGACAGTACGCCAAAGTTAGGTTCAGTGCCATGTTCCAACCAAACATGAAAGTGTCAAAGCAACTGAACATATGGTGCCAATTCAGCTTCATCTTTCAAGATTTGTCGGCCTTTGTCATACCTCTGCCAAAAGTTGTTAACTCTTAGTGGGTTAAATGGAATCTACCCTTACCCCTTAAAACTCCAAGCCCTGGGCAAGTTAATCTTTTACAGACATATAACCCATGTTACCCAACAAGTTGAAAAGTTGTGTTTTTAAGAGGTAAGTACCACTAGACCGTTAAAAATAAAAAACGCTTAAAGCTAAGGAACCGGATGGCTGGGAGCCGCCAAGCCTGGGTCCATCCGCTTTGGGGCCAAGAGGCAAAGGCGGCAGCGACTCCAAGGGCCACAGCTGCTCCCAGGAATCCAAGTCCTCCAGGTTTGCACCCTGAAGGGGCGACCGGAAGCAAAGGGAGGGGTTCCAGTTGCCACAGCAGGTAACCCAGGGGCAACCCATCCATGGTAAAACCAGGCAAGGATCCCTGGCTACCTGCTTCAATGTGAAAAAGTGTTCTCTTCAATGAGCCCCGGCGCAGCCAAAGAACGGCACGCGGGCCTCCAGGTCCTCCTGCAAAAATGCAGCCGGCCCTCATACCAAATGGACCCGGCATCCCGGAACAAACGGTCTCCGCCATGCCCCCCCATCAAGCAAAGGCCACAACACGGGTTGACTAGGTCCTCCAGTAGAGAGGTTAGAATAAGGGTACCCTTTTTCTGTAGTCTATTCTAGGAGGGGAACCCTCCCCCAAGAAAGGGTAAAAGGGCACTGGGAAACCGGATTTCCCCAAATCAACTCTTGGACGAAACAGGATTTGGGTGAGTAGGCGAACAAATAGTCCAAGCGAATCAGCCAGAAGCCGGGCTAAATTGCCGGGTACTCCACTCACACAGATGGGTAGGTAGGTAGGTAGGTAGGCAGGCAGGCAGGCAGGCAGGCAGGCAGGCAGGCAGGTAGGTAGGTAGGTAGGTAGGTAGGCGTGTGTGTGTGTGTGTGTGTGTGTTCTTTTGAGGGAGGAATCAAAGGGAGTTCAATGGAAATCCCATTTTGGGGAGGGGTCCCATCTTGTCTAAATTATCAACCCCATGTTCAATTTGCTTCGGCCCTGTAAAAAATGCAAATATGTCCAGTTGTGATAGATTTCCTGTAATCTGTCTCACAAGGGAAAATCAACCATATTCTAAAGCAGATGGATATGTCAAGCAGTGACAGATTCCCTTTAAACTCAAAAAGGGACATTCAACAAGATTCCTACGCACATGAACCCCGTTTTGCGCCCCGTTTTGGCCCGCTTCGGCACGTCCCGAGTCACGCCTCCCCGCCTCCAGGCTCGGCAGCATGTCGCAGTGCTGGAAGGGCTCCAGTTCACTGAGCGATGGGGCGTGACGCCCAGAACACTTGGTTGCTGCAACGGCCCCCCTGCAAAAAGTCTTTGACTTTTTGGGGGGTTTAGTGGAAGACTCCTTTATTTCAACCAAACAGTTAAAGTCTAAAGATCCAACCCACTAGCAGTCAAGAATAGTGGCTGTCCTTCGGGATTCCCTAAACCTTCAGACAGGGGGTTCCCTCAACAAAACAAAGCCAAGGGACAAACGAGTGTAGCTTCAAAGCTGGAAACAAGGGAACGGGTTCCCTCAACAAAACAAAACAAAGCCAAGCTGGACAAAATGATTCTAGGTCCAAAACTGGAAATAAGGGAACTACGCCCGAAGGGGCCAAAATGAGCTTGTGACATTCCCAGAAACATGCATGGAACCCCAAAAACGAGGCTGGCCCAAAAATGCTAAGCAGGGTCCCACAGGAGGCCCTTTGTGTAAATGAGCCCATGCTCAAAGCGGGAGGAACAGCATCCCAAGCCAAAAGGCTAGCCGTAGCCATACAGTGCTATATCGCATTGAAGCAGGAGGATAATAGGTGCGGGGTAGTGGAAACCATCTTAGATGATCAAAACGACGGGCCACTCAATGATGGCTTTATATTCTAGCGGTTGGAACACCGAGAAATTGCTCTGACCGGACATGCATCCAATCATTATTCTCTGTCCACCCCTTGAGGTGCATGTCCTTTTCCTCGAGGTTTACCCCAATCTTAGCATAATTGTTTGGGTGGGTTCCGACTTTCCTTTGGTCCAAGTTGGCTTCTCCAGAGCTCCAACCCATGTTAAAAAGGCAAAAGGAACCCGCTAGAATGGAAGCGCGGAAGCCACCCAGAGGTCATTTCAACACCTGGAAATGGTTTCTGGGTGCACCGCAGATTTGGGTTGGGCACATTCTCCATCAAGCTTATTAAGCAGATCGATATGCCTCATGCTTCAATACTGCCTGCGCGGCTGACAATGGTTCTTTGAGTTGGAAACCTCTCTCGTGTTTAATGCATATTATATAAGGGGTAATGGGCATCTTGAGCAACCCAGACAAAAGGCTGTTTGGAATTTGGCCCATGTCTCGCAAAATCAGCAAAGGATCCTACACAGTTCAACGGTCTTGGCTTGAAATCCAGCATCCCTTTGGGATCTCCTTTTACAAAACTGACAAAGTTCTAGTCTCTGAAGGCAGTGAACAAAAAAAAAAAACGTCGGATAACACCTCCCTTTGGAATGGGACACGCTGTTTTTCCTCCGGACCCGGAGGCTTTCAGGTACCTGGCAACCCAAATCCCATGGGCGGTTGAGGAATTGGACCCCCGAAATGCGGGTCTCCCTTTGGCTTCCGCTCAAGCCAACCTTAAATGTATACCCTCCAACAAACCAGACACACACACACAACACACAACACACACACACACCAAACAAACTCATGCTCACACACACGGAAAGGAGACGCCACACACCACTCCATCCCCCTGAGGCACTCATCCACCATGTTGGATGAGCTCAAATAGTTCCACCCCAACATTGGGACACACCAACCACGCAAACACACAAATATATACATACCAGCACCCCCCCCAACCACTGCTTGTTGGAGATTGGGACTTTGAACATGTAAAGCAGTTGCTGGACGGAGGGCGCCAGAAGTGGTCCCATGGAAAGGCCCACCGGCTCGCCTGTCCAGCAACGAGTCCGAGGACATGGCGGGCACCGCTGCGGTTTCGGAGAAGGTGCGACCCTTTGTTGGGGTGATAAAGGGGTGCGCTTGGTTGGTCTAACTTCGTGTTTGTTTGATTGTTTGGTTGGCTGGTTGGTTGCTTTCAGGGGAAACTTTCAGGAACACCGTTGCTTTTGGGGTGCCCCAATTTTTTGGCACGTACCAAAATGGGGGATGCGGCAGGTTCAGGAACATCAACGATATCCACCCACCGGTTTTGGTTTGTGATTCACATGAAAAACCAATGCCTACGGTCCTAGATGTAGGGATTCCAGGCTATCCATGGTTTGACCTACTCCACTGGAAAGTACCCAGCCACAAGTGCTCCAGGGTTCCGCAAATATTTGGCCATAACATCACATGGTAACCCAAAGGTGGGGCATTGTTTGGGCTCCGGACACACGCCAAGCTTCTTGTCCCTTTGCCGGTCCAAGTGGGGTCCAGATGCATCTGTGTTTCTTCTAGAAACTGGTGCAGCTTTGACGGGGCTGGCTCCGGGAAACGTAAGCTGAACATTGTTATTTTGGACAGTGAGGGCGGATGTCAAGACTCCGTGACCCTTTCCTAAGCGTCAGAAGGGCGTGTCTTGTGCCTGCTTTTTCTCTGCTGTCGTCTTGGTAAATTTGGCCTCGCTCTGTCAGCCAGCGAGCCTTGAGCAGGTCGACCGAGCAAGAAGTTGAGGCATGTGAAAAAACAAAACACATTCACTCGGTCAGGGGGCCTCGCACTTCCCCTTGAAACATATTGTGGATGCTTCCCCAAAAAGGGCCCCCACTTTTCTGATGGCCTTCAAGGGGAACAAAGGGGAACGTATGTACGTATCACCCCAGCGCATTCAGCATGCAATGAGCCGCAATTCCGAGTGCCACGTACCAGGTGCCCTGTCAGTGCCCAAAGCACTCAATCAAAATCCTCAAGGTCTCACTGCCAAGAACTAGAAGTAGATGTCCGCAAATATCATGGCAATGGCCCGCGCATCTCGACTGAAGATTACCACGCCCGAAGAACCGACCCCTTTTGTTGGGCCCGTTCTTCATGTGGAACGTACTAACAAAGCAAAAACACACACACACACACACCCACACGCCCACACACACACACACCCACACGCCCACACGCCCACACGCCCACACGCACACACAGACACACAGAGACACAGACACACAGACACACAGACACACAGACACACAGACACACAGAGACACAGAGACACAGAGACACAGAGACACAGAGACACAGAGACACAGAGACACAGAGACACAGAGACACAGAGACACAGAGACACAGAGACACAGAGACACAGAGACACAGAGACACAGAGACACAGAGACACAGACACACAGACACACAGACACACAGACACACAGACACACAGACACACAGACACACAGACACACACAGACACACACAGACACACACAGACACACACAGACACACAGACACACAGACACACAGACACACAGACACACAGACACACAGACACACAGACACACAGACACACAGACACACAGACACACAGACACACAGACACACACACACACACACACACTCACACACACACACACACGGGAAGTCACGTTCACACGCACACACTTACATCCAATAACTGCCTGTATGTGTAGCGTACATTGCCTCGTGTCATTGACAGCAAATACAAGAGAACACATGCTGAGCCAGGCGCAACCTCCTCCTCTACGCAAGCCTGACGCAGCAACTTGCTCTAACGGTTCTGGATGCGAAATCGATGTGGGGCAGTGCTTCGAGCACCTGATACTTTGCGCTCATAGCATACATGGTAGTTGGGATCCTTTGGCAAATATTTGCATGTTGACCATATTTGGCCTTAAGTTGATATACTTTGTCAATTATCCAAGCTGTTGGTACAGGGCCCGCGCGCCTGCGCGATTCATGTGCTGCAGCGATGCCATCGGAATAAAACCAAGGACACCTGGCCCCTAGATCAATATCCGGATTATCAGGTTGGTGGAAATGTGGCTATTTTTTGTGCTTTTCTTTTTTACACGGGGCAACCTAAAAGGCATGGCTGGACGCACAAGTTCACCTAAAGGACTCGCCGTTGGCGATGTCTTGTGTTGTCCAAGCTGGAGGTTATTGGGGCTTCAACAGGCGAATCCTGAGAAACGAACGTTGTGACCTGTCTCCCTTGGAAACTCGTCTCTTCCCAGGGTTGGGGGAAAGCCAGCTTCTTCAACAAGGGCTTTTTCGCGGCAGAAACCAACTGAGTCGACCGGCCAAGTGCACAAACTGTCTCTCCAAGCCACGTGGCTCAGTGCGTCACGAATGCTAGCCTAACAAAGGGGCGAACAGCCCCTGGTTTCTTGGAAAAAAACACTTCTCTCAACTTCCAACCTTTGGGCACTCAGAAGTCCTTTTGCTTGCCACACTGGTCCTTCCTATGTGACTCAAGCCCATGAACCCGAGTGAACTCCGGGAGTGAGTTTACCAACAAAAAGCAACCAGCAGGGCCCCCGCTGGTTTTGTGCAGGGCTGGGCTTCGATGCCTGGCCTCCACTTCCGGAAGGCTTTCCGCCACAACATCTGCGTGGCTCCCCACGATGAAGACCAGCGCCTATCCACTTGGAGGGCGAGAGAGCGAGAGACATGGCGCGGGCAGCGGGGAAGACTTGGCAGATGTAAGAACCGAGGAAAAACGGAAGAAATGTAAGCGCACCATAGGCCGGAGCTGGAATGCACGAACAAACAAGTGTTCATGATAGATTTTGTAATTATGCTTCTATAGTATGGTATTCCGTGTGCCCGAATTGACAAAGGCTTTTTAGACCAGCCAGTTGTGGGAGAGACGGAGGACGTACATGGAGGGCAATGGGGATGGGAAATTGAGGGTTTCCAGCGGAACATATGTATATATATATATATATTATCTATGCATTCGTATACCCCTTCACCACCTAGTAAGCATCATACATGGGGTATGAATGGCCACCTGCCCCAGGAGTAGTTAGTTAAGCCAATAGCCTACAAAGCTTTTTCCCGTGAAGCTTCATTGCCCAAGACCGTCCCGAGTTCCCAAGGTTCCTTATGTTACCCTTTCAACAATTACCCCGCCAAAGGGGAGCTCACCTTGAGGGGAACATATACAGGGCCTCATCTCAACCGGTTTCATGAAGCGGGGTTAGGCCCCCACATTATTTCACCTTGCATCCACAAAGGGAACATGTATCTGAACTTCCGTACATCATTGAGGGGTTGGGGATTTCCCAGATAGCATAACCTGTTGGGTGGTTCCTGAAGCTTTTCTGAACATGATGCACATTGCAATTGCTGACCTTTGAGAACGAAGCACATCAGCCCCGCGCGGAGTTTCACTTCTGGAGAATGAACACTAATATGCGTCTTCGACCGCATGTTGGCCAGGTATGGCTGACGTTGCCTCCTTGAGCAAGTGGGTACACGCAGGGATGTTTCTACATTGAGGGCCCCCTTTTTCAAGGGCCTTGCGAAGGGGGAGCATCAACTCTGATGTTCTTTGCAAGGGTCTAGGGGCAGGGGCTAAATGCTTGCACAGCTTTGCAACCAAGCCATACGTCAGAGTCTAAGACATCAGCGTCCACCTTTGACAGTCAGCTCGAACCCGTAGCTCTCTTTGGCTTTCGCGTCACTTGAGATCCACCCGGATCCTCCCGGACTCCCCGGCCCCACCTGGTTGGAAGGGGATGGGTTTCGAGCCCTTTTTCCCCCCGATTCGATTCCATCAAACTATTATTCAAACCGGGGCGCACGAAACTCGATCTTAGTTTGAAGATTCTAGCCAAAGGGAAAGTGGAGTGGAACTACAACTTAAAATTCCCAGGACCGCCGTCCCTCCGCCATTCCATGGCTTGAGGAGGGATCGGATGGCACTAGCTTGCTGCCAAGCGGCATCTGGCGCATGAACGTGGATCGAGGAGAGCCAAAAGGTCCTGGGTGCGGAGCCCAGAAAGGCCGGGCGCTCGGCATCCACAGCAATATGAGGACTCAAACTCAGAGCGGCAACCCATCGACTTAAAGAGCGGCTCATCTTTGTGAAAAGGATTGCACTGGGTGAATTCACCTCAAACTCAGGTTTCCTTCCCAGACTCATGTCGAAACAAGGGAAATTGAGCACTTCTGCCGACTCCAACCGAAGCACATGTTGCTTTAGCCCGCATCTGAGGTACGCAGGAACCTGTGTCTTCCACCTATGTTCCATGTTTAGTCTACCGCAAATACATTAGGAGACCCCAGGCTCATGATTCACAGGACATCCGCGATCCGTTTTGGGCCCTTGGGCCTCGAAACTCCGAATGGCTTAAGCTGATCGCGTTCGTCCCGGAGCAACTTGCAAGACTCGTGGCGCTACTAGGCTCCAAATGTGGGGATCCTCCGTGCTTCGAGTGGAGCAAACCAATGGCAAACCGCTTTGGCACACGGAAGTCCAAATGGTGGAGAAAAGTCGTTTGAAGATTGGGAGTCACATTCCCAGGTTTGAGCAGAGAGCAAATATGGTTCTACCAAGATGATTATAAAGGGTCGATATAGGCGTAACTTTTATCCCAGTTAAACCAGGTAGTACAACCACCTGCAAAATGTGCCTTTGTGGGGGGGGGGGGTTGAGCGCAGCTGTGCTTTTTGGAGAGACCAGCTATTTGGAGGGTTCCCCTCTGAGACAAACAAACTTGGCCATGATCGTTTCAAGGAAATAACCTCATCAGTGATTGGTGGATAGTCCGAAATGATGTACAAAGGGTCTCTAATTCAGATTCATAGCCATTTGGCTTTTGCAGCCACAGCCCAGTCCAAACCCCAGCCCTCTGACCAGTGGCAAGGCTTCCAAAGGCGGTTCAAAGGCTCCACCGTCCTCGCACAGACACCCGGAACCGAGTGATCCGAGGTGGAGATCGATAAGGCTCGCTTGTTTTCAGCCTTGGCGCCCTCAAAAGGAGAACCGATGCCATTTTTGGGTCCCCCTGTGGTGGCACATGCACCAATTTTGAGCGGTCGCATGGGAGACCAAAAGGAAC